AGGAGAAAAAGATGGTCCAGGATCTACAAGACCCACAAAAACAGCTTCAACTTCACACAAAAAACAAGGAGATAGAAGGTTACACCCTAGCAATGATTAATAATATTGATAAAAATTTATGTCTATTCTACATAAATATATATACCTGGTACTTTGACATGACTAATAATACCAGAATGAAAACTCCTAGTGCAAAACAGTACTTGTAGAACAGAGTTTGCAAAACAAGTATTCCCCAGGTTACTTAATCCAATCGGAAACCCCAGCAGAGAAGTAGCCGAAGGACATGGAACCCCAGAAATACCACTAGTATGATCAGTAACAATAGCTTGATTAGTAGCCATTGTGTTATAGACAAAAAACGAGCAATCTAATTAATGCGCATGCGCACTGTAGTTTTCCACCCACACAACTAATTGGATCCATTCCTGTCTCTAGATGCTTTGAAACTAAATTCTCACTATTTGTTTCTTCTTTTCTTACTTTCAAGGTATATACTGTATCCCAGTTGAGTTTGGGACAAGAAAAACTGGAATAACTTTTTACAGGAATGTGGAATAAGGATGAAACTTACACTGGTTCTTAGTCGGCAAAGTCCATCAAAATCTGTGAAATCTTGGGTCTCTCAGCCATTGAAAACCCTGAGAACCGGGTTCTCCCAATAAACCCAATGGCATACCAAAGCTAACCGCAATTACGTTTTTTGATGTCATAGTGTACATAATAAGCACATGTGGTCAAGTGCCTAAACTGATCTTTATTTTTAAAACGCTAATGGAGCAAGATCTTCTGAAAATAATGGCTTTTATGAAGACTAGTTGACTCCAGCAGCTATTGATATTATTATAATACGTCATTTTGTGACGTAGCTACATATTTTCAATTCCATGCAGCTGCTTCCACTTCCGTCCCACATTGAACTGGGATATAGTAAATAGTAAATAATTGCTCTGATTAGTATTTAAATTGACGTTATATGTTGAACTGACTTTACTATTTGTTTCTTCTTTTGTCACTCTCAAAACAAGTGACTGAGCAGACTGAGTTTTTATCATTTGAGGTTAATTTTAAAATAGTATGATGTAATACTTTCCGCTATTTATTTCTTCTCTTCTCAGTTTCATTGTGTAGTTTAATAATATCAGAAGTTACTTATCAGGTTGAGTTGTTATTGTCTGAGTTTAATTTTAAATTGATGTGTCATATACAACTCCGTCATTTGTTCCTCCTTTTTTAGTTTTGTAGAATGGTTTGAAATTACTGATCAGACTGAGTTTTTATCATTGGAGATTGTTTGGAAATGTTTCATTTTTCTCTGACTTCACAATGCCATTTTTTCAGTTCTCAAATGGTGTTTACCTAATCTGACTAGTCATTAAACAGCTTGAGCTTTGTTTTAAAATAATCTCTTCTGCACTTTCAACTTCTAACTGTTTGATATGTTTTCAGTTTCATGGCACAGCTGATACAAAGAGTGACTGGTCAAATTGAGAATTTGTTTTTTTAATTATGTTTATTGTTCAACTCACTTTTCACTTGTTTCTTTTTTTAAGTTTTATGGTATAGTTAATAGCAGAAGTAACTGATAAGATTGAGTTCTGATCATTGGGTTGGTTTTTTAATTGTTTTATGTTATTCTAACTCTTTATTACTTGTTTCTCCTTTTTTCGGTTTCAATGTATAATTTAAACTATTAAAAGTCCCTGATCAGACTGACATCATATCATTTGAGGTTTGTCTCAAAATGATGTTTTATGGACTGCTGACTTCTCACCATCTGCTTCTTCTCTCAGTTTAATAATAACTGTATGGGTTATGATTAATTATTTCTAATTTTTTGTTTTTTTTTGTAATTAATTATTACTGTGAATTTGAAGAAAACAATTTTCAAAAATGTCCACCGTTAACGTTTCTTCTCCAACCATCTAAGCATTAGCTCGAACATTTTTGGTCCACCGAGCAGGATCCATCCTTAATTTGTGGTTATATTGGTCTTTGCTCAGAGGAGTCGCTGTTTTTACTCGTTTATCCAGCCAGACTAGCTTTTAGTTCGTCTCAGTCGGCCATGTGCAGTCTACTACGATGGCAACGAAACAGTCTATTGCTCTACTACCGACTGACATTAATGCTTATAAGAGAAGAGGAGTTACCCGCTCTTCTGTCACACGACTCACTACCCTGTCTGAGATTTGGAGAATGGGAAAGATCAACCGGATACTCCGGTTCGTGCTAAACAGCTAATGTCCAAGCTTAGTACTGTTGATGCTGAGTTCAAGTTCATTCATCTTCAGATAATAGACCTCATTGATAATGAAGATAAATTGGTTGCTCAACAAGGCGTTTTTGACGACCTTGAGGATAAAGTATCTGCATTGTTCCTCAGGCTTCATCAACTGACTCGCACCCTGTCTCCATCTCCAGCTCCTTCAGCTAGTTTGGCAGAAAGGACTATATTAGCTAAAAGATTGCATCACTTGGAAAAGTGTATAAATACTGCTAAAACTGCCATTACAGGCCTTCCAGATGGATTAGATGATTTGGCATTAATTGCCAAATCTGAAGCTCAGTTGGCCGACTACAAATCACAACTTGTTCCCATACGAGATGAATTATTACATTCCGGTGATGTTCTTGAAGATGACACTTTGTTAGATTTGCATGCTGAGCTGGAACAGCAGCTGTTTGATTGCTCCCACGTCATTCACAGACATCTTGCTCGACATGATACGGAACGCACGCCTACTACACCTGTTGCAAGTAGTGGTGTCAAACTACCGAAGCTAGATGTTCTTGTTTTTGACGGCAACATCATCAATTGGACTAAGTTCTGGCAACAGTTCCGTGTGTCTGTCCATGATCGTACTAACATTACGGAAACTGAGAAACTCATTTATCTCCAGCATGCCTTAAAGGTGGCTCAGCTAAGACAGTAATAGAGGGACTGACAAGATCAGGTGAGCATTATGTGGAAGCTATTGATTGTTTAAAGGCACATTTTGATTGGCCTAGATTAGTTCACCAAACCCATGTTAAGAATATAATTGAGTCCCCTGCACTAAAACAGGGAAGTGGTAAAGAGCTACGCAAGTTGCATGATACTGTGCAACAACACATCAGAGCCTTAAAGGCAATGGGTCACGAGCCCTCAGCCTCCTTTATCACTTTTATAATAGAGCAGACTCTACCACTATGTTTGAGTGGCAGAGATATACACAATCTGAAACCACTGTGCCTCATTACAGTAAAATATTTGAATTTATTGATTATAGAGCTCAGGCTTCTGAGTCTATAGGTACTACTTTTTCCAAGGGGATTACTAAGGATAATAAGAAGTTGCCAGGGCATATTCAATTTTTTACTTCCAGCTCTTCTTCTGCTTGCATAGCGTGTAAAGCAGAAAGACATCCCTTATCCATTTGTCAAACTTTTAAAGGGTTGTCGCATGAGCAAAAGATTTCTCTGCTTAAGAGTAATAATATCTATGAACTGTTTGACTAGTGGGCATCATTCAAAGGGCTGTAAATCAGTTCATAGATGTAGAAGATGCCAGGCATACACTATTGCATTTTGATGATGGACGTGGGTCTCAGACTCACCCACCAGTCACTTCTAATAGCGCAGTAGAGCTTGACTCTAATTGTTTATTGATGACATGTAAGGTCATACTTATTGGTCCTACTGGATCTTGTGTAGAAGCCTGCTGCCTATTAGATAATGCATCACCTGCATCATTTGTAACCGAGCATATTGCTCAGGCTTTGCCTCTTCCTCGCTCTTTTCAATCAATATCAGTATCAGGTATAGAAGGTTTATCTAGCTGTGTGACCAATAGGGCTATATCACAGATCACTGCTTCTCCGGTTGGTAACCCTGGCTGAAAAATTGGTGTTACTGCTGTAATAGTACCTAAGGTAACAGCTGATTTGCCAGTCAAACCTATACCCTTTGGTCTAAATTGGGACCATTTCTCTGATATATCACTCTCTGACTCTGCCTTTGGTGAACCAGGGTGCATAGATGCCCTATTAGGCATTGATGCTTTTATTGTTTGCCTACTAAAGGGACAACTTACAGGTCCACCTGGTTCACCAACTGCATCTGAAAATATGTTTGGCTGGGTCTTAGGTGGTTTGATTAATTCTAGCACTCAAGTGACTAGTCAAATGTCCATATCATGTCTAAATGATGCTATTCACAGATTTTGGGAGATTGAAGAACCTCCCAGTGATAAGCTAGCCTGTTCAATGGAAGTCTGCTGTAATACAGCATTTCCAAGACAAGCATTACAGAACACTACTGGATATATGTGTAGTCCCATTTCCCAGGAAACTGGACATTGCTAGCATAGGAGAATCAAGATCTCAGGCCATCAGGAGATTTTTAGCACTTGAACGTAACTTAAACAGTAAAGGGAAGTTCTGTGAAGTAGATAGTGTAATGCTTGAGTATTTGAAGTTGGGACATGCTGAGGAAGTTCCTATTGAAGATTTTGATAAGCCTACAGATAAAGTATTTTACCTTCCTATGCACGTGGTATATAAAGACTCTAGTACCACTACTAAAATTAGAGCAGTTTTCGATGCCTCAGCTAAATCAATGTCAGAAGTATCTCTTAATTATACCTTATTGGTTGGGCCTACTGTACACCCACCTTTATTGGATGTGTTAATTAGATTCAGATATTTTCGTATCCCTTTGATCACTGATGTTAGCAAAATGTACAGAGCTATTGAGCTTGAGAATGAAGACAATAATTTCCACCGTTATGTATGGAGGTCCAGTCCAAATGATATGATAAGAGTTTACCGTATGAATAGATTAACCTTTTGGTGTCTCAGCCTCATGTTTTGCTGCTAACATGAGTATCAAGCAGAATGCTATAGATTGTATGCATGAATTTCATTTAGCAGCAAAAATGGTTACTGAATCTTTCTATGTCGATGATGGACTGTTCGGAGCAGGTAGTGTTGAAGAAGCAATTGAATTAAGAAAGGAAATGCAGGAGCTATTTTCACGTGAAGGTTTTCTACTCTGTAAATGGAATAGTACCAGTAAGCTAGTTCTGGAATCTATCGAGCATCATCTTAAAGATGTACAGGAGGTGCATTCTCTTTCTGATTCCATGTTGGGATACACAAAGACTCTAGGTCTTGAATAGAACGTCAAAACTGACAGTTTCAGACTTACTGTTTCTGATTCTTTTTGTAGCTTTAAGCTTACAAAGCCTACTTTAGTCTCCAATATAGCTAAAGTATTTCATGTTTTGGGGTGATTCTTACCTGCTATTATTAAAATCAAAATACTTTTGCAGCGTTTATGGGAATTATGAATAGACTGGGATGATCTAGCTCCTTCATCTATTGTCAAAGTGTGGGTAAAGTGTGAGTCTGAGTTTTCATGTCTGTCTTCTTTCCATATTCAGAGGTTCTATTTCTCAGACATTTCTCAATTGAAGTCTTTTCAGTTACATGGTTTCATTGACGCGTCCGAAGATGTATATGCTGCAGTTGTGTATATTCGTTCTCAAGACACAGATGGTAATATAGGTATTTCGTTAGTGATTGCTAAGTCTTGTGTATCTCCAATAAAGAGGATGTCTATCCCACGTTTGGAGTTGTGTGGAGCACAGCTACTGCACTACTTCAAAGGTATTTTCAACTTGAAACTCTCTAGCATATTTGCTTGGACTAATACCAATATAGTCCTAAACTGGTTACAAGGTAGTTCACGCAGATTTAAGGTATTTGTTGGTAACAGAGTATCCTCAATTTTTGACCGTATACCAGCAGATAGATGGGCTCATGTACAAGGTACAGATAACCCAGCTGATGCTCCTTCTAGGGGACTATTCCCAAGTGAACTTGTCTCACATGAGCTGTGGTGGAATGGACCCCCCTGGTTGAGGAAGCCAGAGAGTGAATGGCCTCATGATTTTATTCCAAGTATTAAAACCTTAGAAGAAGAGAGTCACATCACACTTTACTGGTGTTAAACTAGTTTCTCCTATCATACCTGTTAGGAAATATTCATCCTTTCATAAATTATTACGTATCACATCTTGGGTTTATTGTTTTATAACAAACTGTAGAGGGATTAACATAATCAAGCCTCCATTTCTTTTAGTTAGTGAAATTCGTATTGGAAAGCGGTATTGGATCCATTATTCTCAAAGAAATCATTTGATCTTAGTGATAAATCTTTATTGTCAAATCATGTCCAGAAATTGTCATTGCACGGGTGGACATTTAATCATAACAATGTTCATTGATAATTATGATGCTTTAATTAACCGTTACCATAGTAACAAAATGGCAGTCTGGTGCAAAGAGCATTATTATTGATGATAACTTGCTTTTGAGAAGAATTAGTGACATAAAGGAAAGAGAAATTTGTGATATAATAATACAGGTATTACTACAAGATGTCTGTGAGGTACTCTATTGCAAGAAAACGGCACAAGAAAGACATTTGAAGGGAAGAACCATAATAGCTCCAAATATAGCCATTAAAGACTTCAAGAGACAGAAAACAACCTCATCTCCTTCAACATACTTGTTTCCTAGGCTTTCTGATCACTTTAGTACTTCTAGCATGTTATAAAATGCAACCGCAGTCAATCCTATAAGAAAAACTTCTCATGTTCAGCCACAAAAACCCAAGCCGTATCATATGCAATCTCCTTAATTTTTATACCATATTAAAGCTTATGAATTCTATTTGTTGGTCCTAAGTGAAATTAAGGCCAGTTATAAGAAAATAAAATTATACTGCTTTACATTTGGAATAAAACAATACGGTACATGTCAATGAATGTAAAATGGTGGCGTCAATAGTCCTTGTCTTTGAGCTCAGAATTCCACACTTCAGCACGGTATTTGCCACAAATTTTCTATACCAAAACAATGAGCATATGTTGTAGCATAGTATGCTAAGTAAAATGAAGCTTGCTGCTGCTCCAATCATTCAGGAGAAGAGTGAAAACCTATTCTTCCATTCATGTCGCCTACATTTAGCTTCCTACAATTTACGGGGTTTTACTGAAAAATTAAATTCCGTGTCCTCTAATTTCTGTACATGTTGTGATTTGCCCAATAAAAGTTCCATAATAGTACCTTTGCATCCATTTATGGATAAACACAACATCTTGAGAGTTGGAGGCAGACTGGCTAACTCTAAGTTATCATTTTCTCAGAAACATCCAATTATCTTACATGAGAAAGACTCCATTACTCAGTTGCTTGTTCATACTGAACATATTCTATTACATGCAGGGCCTACCCTACTAATGGCATCACTCAGCCGTGATTATCATATCATTCGCTTGCGTAGAGCAGCTCGTTCTGTAATATGCCAGTGTGTCATATGTAGGAGGCAATCTGCAAGAACAGAATTTCAGTTAATGGGTCAGCTCCCTTTTGAGAGGATAAATCCTGGGCTCATCTTTGAGAATGTCGGCCTCGATTATGCTGGTCCCATGTTGATAAAGTATGGTCATGTAAGAAGACCTACAATAGTAAAGGCATTTTTCATGTAAGAAGACCTACAATAGTAAAGGCATATATTGCTGTTTTTGTTTCAATGAGTGTAAAGGCAGTTCATTTAGAACATGTTACAGATCTAACTAGTGAGGCATTTATTGCCTATTTACGCCGCTTTGTTGCTCGCCGTGGTTGCCCCAATCAGATTTGGAGTGACCACGGGAGCAACTTTGTTGGTGCCAAAAGAGAGATTAATAAATTGTATAATTTTCTGTCTAACAGTATTGTACAATGTAACGTGTCTCAGTTCTGTCATAGTAGGGACATTGAATGGAAGTTTATACCTAAATGAGCACCTAATTTTGGTGGGATATGGGAAGCTACTGTAAAAAGCATGAAGACTCATTTAAAGAGAGTAACAACTAATGTCAAGCTGACATATGAAGAAATGAGCACTATACTCACTCAAAAAGAGGTGTGCCTGAATAGTCACCCATTGACTAGTATACCTTCTAGTGATAATGAGGGCATCAAAGTACTCATTCCTGGTCATTTCCTGATAGGATGTCCACTCCTAGCCATCCCTGACCCTCCATCATCACACAATCATTCTGCCACTCTCTTGCATTGTTGGCAATTGTGCCAAGCTATCATTCGACACTTCTGGACTAGATGGTCATCAGAGTATTTACTAAATCTAAATTGTTTCAATAAGTGGAGGTGTCCTGCGTGTAATTTGAGAATAGGAGACATAGTACTAGTGAGAGAGGAGAATATGGCCCCTACTAACTGGCCACTTGCTCGTGTCATAAAGGTGCATACAGGCAATCATGGGCAAGTGAGAGTCGCTGATGTTAAGACATTAAAGGGAGAGTATCAGCACCCAGTTACGAAGATTGTCCTGTTGCTACCAACAGAAGAGTCAGATGATCATAACTGAGGCTGTGCTATTATTAATTAATGAATTATTAAGTAACTTAAATACATGTATAACAAGAACAAAAAAATTAAAAAAAACA